GATGTGTTTGTTTTGACCATAATCATTCACCTACTCGTGGTAAATTGGATCCTAAGTCTATTAAGTGTGTTTCCTAAGTTACTCTGCTACCCAAAAGGGTTATAAATGTTATCATCCGCCCTCTCACAAATGGTTTGTCTCCATTGATGTCACTTTCTTTGAGTCTCAGTCTTACTTTCCAAGCTCCTCCTTGTCACAGTCATCCCTTCTGGGGGCGCCTTGGTGTAAAGAGATTCATGTGCCACTACCACCAGTGGTGGAACAGGTAAAAGATGTTGAGCCAGCAATTGTTGTGGAAAAGGAAGGCAAAGTTTATGTCAGGGACAAAGATAGACAGAAAGTCACTTGGATGCAAAAGATTACTTTTCCTCCTCTACTGCCACCTTCTTCTCCGATGAGTGTCCAGAGTCATCCCCCTCTCCTGAGAGTCCAGGTAATTCTACTCCTAATGCTCATATGCCCGAATTCTCCGATCTTAATGTTCCCATTGCAAATAGAAAGGGAGTTAGGTCATGTACTCAGCATCCTCTTACTAATCATGTTTCTTATTCTAATCTATCTCCCTCATATAAAGCCTTTTGTCTAAAATTTCTTCTGTGAGTCTGCCTAACAATTTTCAGGATGCTCTCTCCATTGCTGAATGGAAACATGCCATGATGGAGGAGATGAGAGCTCTCAGCAAGAATGGCACGTGGGAGTTAGTGGAGTTACGTTGAAGGAAAAATTTAGTTGGGTGTAAGTGGGTGTACACTGTGAAACACAAAACAGACGGCTCCATCAAACGGTATAAGCCAAGACTGGTTGCTAAGGGTTTTACTCAGACCTATAAGGTTGATTACCAAGAGACATTTGCACCGGTTGCTAAGATAAACTCTATGAGAATACTACTCTCTTTTGCAGTCAATTTGGGTTGGCCAGTTTATCAGTTTGATGTGAAAAATGCCTTCCATCATAGAGACCTAGCAGAAGAGATCTATATGGATATTCTCCCTGGTTTTGAGGATGTTAGGTCCAAAGGTAAAGTGTGCAGGCTCCGAAAATCACTTTATGAACTAAAGCAATCTCCTAGGGCTTGGTTTGAAAGGTTTGCTCAAGTTATGCTGAGATATGGGTTCAAACAAAGTCAAGCTGATCACACCTTATTTGTAAAACACTCCTCACTTGGTAAGACCACAGCTCTTATTGTCTATGTTGATTTTGTTCTAACCGGAGATGATGTTGAGGAGATTCCTCAGTTGAAGGAATACTTAGCCAAGGAGTTTGAAATCAAAGACTTAGGCAATTTGAAATATTTTTGGGGCATTGAAGTAGCTTAGTCTAAGGATGGCATCTTCATATGCCAGAGGAAGTATGTACTCGACTTACTGAAGGAAACTGGAATGCTTGGAGGTAAACCATGTGATACACCTCTAGAAGTGGGCCAGAAACTAAATGAGGATTAAGGGAAAAATCTAGTAGCCAGGGGGAGATACCAGAAGCTCGTGGGTAAGCTCATATACTTATCCCACTCACGTCCAAACATTGCCATTACAGTGAGCATGGTTGGTTAGTTTATGCATGCTCTAAGAAATTCCCACTTAGAGGCAGTTATGAGAATTCTGAGATACTTGAAAGCTTCTCCTAGAAAGGGTCTCTATTTCTCAAAACATGGACATCTCAGTGTGGAGGCATTCACTGATGCAGATTAGGCTGGATCAGTCACTGACAGACGATCAACTTCTGGATATTGCACATTTGTTGGAGGCAATCTCGTTACGTGGCGAAGTAAGAAACAAAATGTGATTGCTAGATCTAGTGTTGGAGCAGAATTCAGGGCTATGGCTCAGGGTGTATGTGAGTTGCTATGAATTAGACTATTGTTGGGAGACTTGGGAATCCATCAGACCGATTCCATGAGAGTGAACTATGACAACAAGGCCGCAATCAACATAGCTCATAATCTAGTTCAGCATAACAGAACTAAGCATGTGGAGATTGATAGGCATTTCATCAAGGAAAAACTCAATAGTGGTACCATATGTATTCCCTTTGTGAAGACTAGAGACCAACTAGCAGATGTTCTCACCAGGGCATAGGGAGCAAACCATTTCATGGCATTCTCAACAAGCTAGGCATGAGAGATATTTTCGCACCAGCTTGAAAGGGAATGTTAGAATAGGAAAGAATATTTGTTATATTTTATTGGTGTAATGGGCTGGCCCATAATTTATGCCTTATGGCACTTCTGTAGTCCCTCATTATTATCAATATAAAAGCGGATGAGGTCTAACCTATCCCTTAACTCTTTCTCTTCTCTAAACTTATAGGGGCTGTAAGGATGGGCCATCATAGGGTGACGGAGAATGGTCGAGGTGGTCAAGGAAGGAGGCTGGCGTTGGTGCCGCGATTGGTTAGTCTTAGAAATTTTTGGGTGGTTTGGAAATCAGGCTCTTGGATGTGGAAGATAAAGGGTATTTTGGTATTTTTATTTTAGGATAAAAATTTAATTAATTTTTCTTTTATTAAGTGTGGAGTGAGGAATTTTGGTGATTGGAAATAGAAGTTTCCAATTATCTCTGTTACAAATGAATTAATCCTTTCAGAGGTCATTTACCTCTTTAGGCACAGGCCTCCTTAACCTCCCTACTGCTTAAATCCTCCTTGACAGACTTATAAACAAGCCTACCTTTTCCCTCTCAACTATTCCCTTGCACTTAATTCTATTCTCAATAAGTTCTCTGTTATGCACTCTTTATTGTCCACTAAAATATATTTGCAAAAAAATTCAGATGATACGCAGAATTAGGTAAATGTTTGCAATTATTTATCAAACATCCACACAAACATGCCCATAAGGCAGCATCATCAGTTGATACAGGTTATAGGTTGAACACAAGTGTTTGCGCAATTGTTGCAAGAAACCTGCAATCCACATTTTTTTGGTTAAGGTGAATTGTAATTTCTTTATCATTTTTAGTATCTTTTATTAATATAGCCCCTTTTTTACATCATTTTCCCTTTCTTTAGATGTCGTCTTCAAAGCATAAAACTCAAAATTTTGAAACACCCAAATTGCACTTTTGACACGAAAAATATTTACAATGCAGTTATCCACAGCTTGGATTAATGAATCGAATTCAAGTTTAGACTAATCAATTTAAAATATATATAATTAATTTCATTATCTCCTAAATTATTGTCATTTTTTCTATTTCATCCCTAAACTAGTAATTACATCAATTTAATTCCTAAGTTTCTGATGTCAGTTTATATAGTCCACTGAGAAACCAAATCAGCAAGGGTGGAAACCTAACATAATGGGCAAAAATGCCATTACATCCTACAACTAAACACCCATCTTCTTCTCTTCCCCTCATTTCAAAGCAGGGAATTAAAAAAAACAAAAAAATGAGTTTTTGTTTTTATGATTTAAGTAGTTCAGATTTTAAAATGACTTTTTTTCCTTATCAAAATAGACTTTAATGACTTGTCTTTAGAGTTTCGATTCTCTTTGATCTTTGCTATTGCTGTTGATTGTGAGGTGCTGGTGGGTGCTGTCAGGATTGGGGAGGGGCAATCGATGGTGTGGAATGTACAGTTGTGTCGCAATGTCCAGAATTGGGAGCAAGATTAGTTGGTGGAACTTCTGGATTTTTTATATGGTTAGAAGTTTGTGAGGAAAGGTCAGGACTCCTTGATTTGGGATTGTCCTAGATCCAAAGGTATTTTTACTGTGTCTTCTTTCTATGGGAGGCTTGTTTAGGAAGCGTTTGCACAGGATGTTGCTAGAGTTTATCCGTGGAGAGGTGTTTGGGTACTGGGCTCGCCATCAAAAGTTGCCTTTTTTGTTTGGACAGCAAGCTTGGGTGGTGTCTTGACCATTGATAATTTGATTCGTCATGGGCATATTTTGGTGAATTGGTGTTGTCTGTGTGGTAGGGCAGCTAAATCTGTTGACCATTTGCTTATTCATTGCCCGGTCTCGTCTCGTCTCATCTTTGGATGCTTATGGTTACAGTTTTTTATTTAGTTTGAGTACAACCAGGTTCGGTGTTCGCAGTTGTGCAAAGTTGGACAAGGGGGCGAGTAGGGCGGCGGCGTCGGAAGGCTTGGCTTTTTGCTTCGCACTGTTTAATGTGGTTGATTTGGCTAGAGCATAATAGGCAGATGTTTCAAGAGGTGGTTCACTCCATTCCTTGGTTAGAGAGACGGCTTCTTATAATTTTGTATAGTTGGGTAACAGGTTTAGTAGATCCGAATGTATTGGCTTTCGTAGTGGTTGATTTGGCTAGAGCGTAATAGGCGGGTGTTTCAGGAGGTGGTTCACTCCATCCTTGGTTAGAGAGACAGCTTCTTATAATTTTGTATAGTTGGGTAACAGGTTTAGTAGATCCGAATGTGTTGGCTTTTGTAGTGGTTGATTTGGCTAGAGCATAATAGGCAGGTGTTTCAGGAGGTGGTTCACTCCATCCTTGGTTAGAGAGACGGCTTCTTATAATTTTGTATAGTTGGGTAACAGGTTTAGTAGATCCGAATGTGTTGGCTTTCGTAGAATTTGTGAAGGATTTGATTTGTTAATTTGGTGGGGGCTTTCAGGGCCGTTTTTGTATTCTTTGCATCATCTTGACACTTTCTCCATAAAGTTTGGTTATTTATCCAAAAAAAAAATAGACTTTAATGGTTAATGATTTGGACAAGGAGCACATTAGCTGAAATTACAAATTTTGGAGACTAAAATTGTGAAATTAATAGTCTAAGCACCACATTACCTGAAATTATAAATTTTTTAGACTAAATTGATGAAATTAAATTGAAATATATATATATATATATTGATAATTTAGGGAATAAAATAAAATAAACCCATAAAAATAAAAAATAAACTTTAAAATCCTGCACAAGCTCTAATCAATTTCAAAATGTTCACCTAAAAATGGCATAAAGCATACCCAGAAATATAATACATATATATATATAATACGAATTGCGAAGAAAAAAATTGGGGGAAATTGAAGATGCACCTCTTCGTACTTCTGGGTAAGAGCGAGTCGCTCGTCTTCGGACATGTCGGGCCTCAAAACGGCCATGGTTTCATACTGACGGAGGCCCGGTGGGCACTGTGGCTCCTCCTTTTCTTCAACCGCCGTGACGACCGACCCGGGAGGGCTCGTCGGATCGTCTTCTCCTCCGAACCCTCCTTCGAAGAATGAGCCCGAGAAGTCCAACGTTTGAGCCTTGATTGATAGACCTCCCTTGGTCCTATGGTGGTGCAAGGCTTGGCTTTTTCTGGGTAGAGCTCTGAAACTAGGACCAAAGGAGATTGTGGATGGCGATGATGATGATGAAACACAGTGGATGTGGGTGAGAGAATTGCGACAGAGTGAAGGAGATGTGTAGGAAGAAGTGAGGGTTGAGGCAACTGAAGAGGACGCCATTTTTGAGCTCTCACTCTCACTCTCTCTCTCTGCAAAGAGAGCTCTGGTTTTGGAAATGACGGAAAAAAATGGAATTTGGATAAGGGAATGCGCTCCTCGCACTGGTACGGTATACATATAAATTAATTTTTCATATATTTTTAGGAAAAAATTATATAAATGAAATATAAGAAATTAATTACAAATTAGTTGGTTGATTTTAATAATTACAAAAAATTAATTACGAATTAGTTGGTTGATTTTAATAATTACAAAAAAAAATTTCTGCTAATTTTTTCTTTTGTGGTTAAAATTAAAAATATTTGGGAGGACGGTTTGGTTAGATTGAAAATAGGATAAAAAATGAAAGAGAAATTGAATGGAATTAAACAAAGGGGGATGCATCAATAAATCTCAAATTTGTATCTTGTAACCCATTTAGTCCTATGAATTTTCTTATGAACCGTTAGGTCCTATCCCAATGTTAATGACCATTAAACATCAAACATCATCATCGTCAAAACAACAACATCATCATCAAAATAACATCAAACATCACAACATCATTATCAAAACAACATCAAACATCATCATCAAAACAACATCAAACATCACAATATCATCATCAACATCAAACATTATTATCATCAAACATCATCAACATCAGATTTATTTTCAAAAAAATTAAAACTATTGCTCGAGAACCAACATCAAATTCATTAGAACATCAAATCCATCATATTAAAAGAGAGAAACAGTGTAATTTTTAAAAAGTGAACAAAAATTGAAGGAAATGCAAAACATATTATACACAAGAAATTGAACTACTTCACAATCTTTAAAGATACAAAAATCTATGAGGAATAATACCCATAAAACATATCTCTAGAGAGAGAGGGGGAGGCAATAATAATAAAATACCCTTGGGGATAAACATTGCCATAGATTGGGAGAACAACAGAGGACCCAATTGGGTTGACGACCGACGAAGAAAACATTGATTTCCACTACGACTTCTTGTTGCTGATTTTCATAACCTGATCCTGATGTTGATGTTGACGGAGGAGATGAAACAGAGACACCCAAAAGCATAGCTACTACTACCATCACCAACATAACCACCCCGCCGCCTAGGGTTTCACTATCTGAGAGAGAGATGGGCAATGGTTCTGTCTGAGAGAGAGAGGGGCAACGACCCTACCCTCGTCTTTGTCTGGACCCACATCGCCGCCGTACAAATGAACCACCACCACCGCGGCCGTATCGACGTTGCCAACAACCTCCTTCCCTTGCCCGAGACAACGATTTGAAGAAGAAGATGATCATCGTAGAAGAAGAATCATGGATCTGTCTGTTGGGGAGTCGATTAGGGCTCGTATTGATTCGATCTGATTTGAACATCGCTGAAGAACATCATGATGTTGATGATGTTCACATTTTTTTTTTTTTTTTTGGATGATGTTTTGTTAATATTTGATATTATCGATTGGTGCGGTTAATGTTGCTAATGTAGCTAATGTTTTGATGATGTTAATGATATTGATGATGTTGCTGATGTAGATAGTGGGACTAAATGGTGCATAAGAAAATTTGTAGGACTAAATGGTTTAACTTTCTACCACATAGGATTTACTGGTAATTTTTCCTTAAAGGAAATTTATTTTAGAATATGTATTTTGTTAAGGGGAAATAATAAATTAGTGTTAATTTTGAAAAATAATGATAGATTTATGGTAAATTTTATACATTTTATTGATTAAAATTATAAATTTATAATTATTTTAAGATAGTACCACTTATTTGTAAATTTTCTTTTTGTTAATACGAAATTTTCTTTTTGTAAATTCTCTATTCACAATAATTTTTTAACTAATTTTAACTAAAAAACAAGTTGTTATTTTCTTTACACAAGAAATTTAATATTTTTATGTTTTAACAATTTTTATGCTAAACAAAAATGTAAAACTTTCATATGTATGTGTATGTTTTTCCTTTTCTTCCATTGACTTTGAACCTTTTTTTGTCGTAATCAAACTTGATGCAGATTGTAATCTTCTCGCTTTGCATCAAATTACTGCACTCAATTGATTTACAAAATGGGATTTTTACAATGAAGTAAAAGCATAATGCAAAAATAAATAAATAAATAAAGGGATGGGTCCAAAGAAAAAAAAGGGAGACAGTATTAACAATACTCTTATTTTATTTTATAGGATAAATTACACTCACCTTCTTTAAGTTCTAATATATATATTTTTTTTATCCTTAAATTTTTTTTTCTACTTTGACCTAAAATATTTTTAATTCTTTTTTTCAATTTACGCTAATAGTTAACTTATATCCAATTTTGGACCAAAAAAAAAAAAAAACTACATTGTCAACCAAGTGGCACCATTTTAGCAAAGACGTAGCATAATAACACTTTATTATATAAACTAGCATTATATAAATTTGGTAAATCACATTTGGCCTCCTTAAGTTATAATATTTTCTTTTGTTGGCTCTTAAATTTTTTTTTTCTCAATTTGACCCCTAATGTTTACAATTTTTTCCAACAATCGATGTCCCTCCAAAATTAGACAGATTGTAGCCACAATGATCCTAATTCAAACCTCACAATCCATCATCATTTTCTTTCTTCCAAATGCACTAGTATAAATCGAATTTTAGACAATGATGTTTAAGGGTGCCAATTTGAAAAGGGTTCTGGTGGTAGATATTTGATGGTGATTTTGAGATGTTGGTGGTATTAGTGATGAGATAGAGTATGGAGATGGATGATGGTAATATTCAATTGTAAGTGATAGCAAATCAGTAGCAAGTATATGAGGATTTTAGTTGATAGAATTGTACTGGTGGAAAGGTCAGTGAAAGAAAAAATTGAACCATTTAATTCAATAAATGTGATGTCCCAGGTCTTGGACCCGACTTGAACGTGCCTTTCGGACCTATCTTTTTTCCTGTTCGGTACCTTGATAGTTTGTGTCACGTTGATGTTTGAGAGTTTGGACTTGTTTAATCCACTTAACATTAGACCGATTTAAATATTTTGAGTTTCGGGCGTAGGGACAAAACTGAGGAGACTGAGATCACCTTGAGAAGTTCGAGCTGAGTTGGGTGGAACAGCACGTGCGGATTGAGGGCCGCATATGCGGGGTTAAGCTGGGTTGAAGTTTTGGTTCTGCTTTAATTGCACATGCGATGGGAAATTTCGCATGTATGAGAAGGGCTCCGCACGTGCGATGCAGCCAGGCGCGTGAAACTATCTCGAATTTCGTGCTTTTCAGCCATTTATTGATCATTTGCTCCTCTTTCTCTCATTTCAGAATATATCTCTCTCTCTCTACAATCTTTTCTCTCTTTTTCTCTCATCCCTCTATACCCAAACCCTCAAAAATTTTCATTTCCTTTTGATCCCATGAATCCATTGGGATTTTGGTACTAGTTTCTTATACCAAAATGACGAGCATACCAAGGGCTTCGTTTTGACCTGTGGGAATTCCGACAACGTTGATTTTTGGCTTTCCGCCTCTTCTCCCTTTGAGGTAGGGATTTCTTTAATCTTTTTCAATACGTCGTCTATAAATAGACATGTGGTAGGTTTATTGCATAAAAACCATGTTCATCATGAAAGGGGATCTAAGACTTGATATTTGAGATTGTGATTTGTGAAATTGATTGTTGTTTAGGTTAATTGGGGAGTAGTTTAACATGTTCATGTTGAGAAAGAGGTAAAGCCCTAATTTTGTAATAATGTCTAATAGGTAAAAAGGGTTGAAATTGTGAAATAATCATGTTATGAATTAAGGAATTTGATTAATGATTTGGTAATTAATTTGAGATTAAATCGGGCCTTATGATGTTAGCATTAACTTTGTGTTAGGTTGATTATAGTTGAGTATAACGAATTGATAATTGTTAATTGCTAAAAAGGGGATTAACCATGAGATTAGAATCATTGAGTTACACTTTTATTGAGTCGAAATTGAGTCGATTATGAATTTGTTATCCATGAATTGGGTTTTTGGTTAAATAAAGGAAATGAGTTTTCTTGAAAATATAGTTGGTGTATTGTGAATTGAGAACTGTGGAAATTGATTTTGGAAAGAAGAGGTAATTATAACTCTTTTGCAAATTGAGAAAGAACTTTAGGTAGAAGTTGAAAACCTTTGAATATTATTGTTATTGTTGGACTTAATGCCTCATAAGAATTGGATAATTGTATTACGTGTATTTAATACATATTGTTTAGAGGTTTTGTCTTTGGTCATCGGTAGAGGATGACAATGTGATGTTGAAATGATTACGTATATGTAGTACACTCGAGTTATTTATGCTTATTGTACAAAGTGATGGTTGGAAATTGTGCACGCGCTGAGAATATGAGATACCAGTACCTTCCAGCTAGCGCCCATAGAACTTGGCCACACTAAGAATAAAAGGTACCAATACTTTCTAATTAGCGCCTGGAGAACTTGGCAGAGGTACCATTACCTTCCAGCCGATATCTGGAAAATTGGCATTTTGTTGTGAAAAGATGTACCATTGGCTTACCGTGCTTGAAGCAGGTAAAGTAAAGTTGTTTATTATTATTGTTTCAGTGTGACTATGATATGTCATGTGTTATGATGATTGTGGTTCTGGGAGACCGAGTTGTCTTAAAAGTTAAGTAGGTAGTGGTTGGGTGCATGTTGTTTTCATCTCTTGAGTTAAATGGTTATGTGTACACGTAAGTGCATCAAATTGATTGTTGATAGTATTTTCTTTAACCTTGGGTTTAAGGCATGGAAATGTGATAAATGTATTTATGCATTGAGGTTGTAAGAAACAAGGAAAAGAAAATCGGATCTTTGTGATTTGTTTCAAAGGCAAGGCGATTATTATGTAATACTTTGTTAAAAAAATGGAAAATACGGTTATTATGTGATATTTTGTTAAAAATGGGAAAATGAGAAATAAATGTGAACTGGTTGTGTTGTTGAATAAATTTGACGATTTTAAAAAATGGAAATACAATTATTATGTAATATGTATACTTTGGTTATAAACCGTCATAGTATGTATATGATATGATGTGAAACATTTATGATCATAGCTATCTGTATGTTGTTT